CAAATACCTGCGTGTGGAGACCCGCCTAAGGGCATGGTCGCACTGGAGTCACTGTGATCCATATCCAACTTCTGAAATTGAGGGAATGTTATTTAAGTCGCAGTCCCAGTGAAGACGAGGAGAGTACGGGGAAGGTCCACACTCCCTCCTTTTCATACGGATTTTTGGCCGATCGGTTCGGCTGCTTCCTTCTACTTTCTTCCTCGCTGCTGGACATAGCAATCTGCAACCCAACAGGACAATGAGGCAAGGAGAGTCAAGTCTATGTGAAAGCTCACTGTCTCTCGTGTAGATTCATCTAGCTTAGTGTGCGGAGCCGTTTGAAGGAAACGAGCTTCTTCGTCAGAAGAACAAGTCTCCGTGTAGGTGTAGGAATTGGAGGATAAGATACTATTCCACGAGAGTGACGGTCATATTCTCTGCAACTGCTTGAAAACGTGCGCGAAGACAAGGCTGAACACGTCTTTTGATGGTTCGCTTCGATATTTTCGTCAACATTCTACGATAAAACAAGAAAACGGGATTATGGAAGCAGAGAATATGTGCAGGGTCAATGGACAACGTGAGAGCAGAAACCGCGTGCGCGCAGCAACGTGGGCGAGCTGGAAATGGCCTGATGAAGCGCTCGCGCAAAAGCGAGCGCGTCATCTGATCGATTTGCCAATAATCGGGCGAGCAGTCATCACCTGCGTTAGGGAAGCCAAGTCCCTGGGCCGCGAGAGCCAATCAAATAGCAGCAATTAGAGTCGGCTTTCATTGCTATTAGGTTATGTGGACTTGGGCTGATCGATTTTTTTTCATCTTTCTCAGACCTGGCCGTCTGACCGTCGTTTATGAATATTGGTGGCCTCCTGTGTTGTGTTGTCACCTCAACCAATTGGGGGTCGGTTGCGTTTTTATCCACGTTTTGGGTGAATTAGTCGACGGGCCGTGCTTGTTCGGTATTCTTAAGCTCCATGACCGTGTTGTTCTGGTCGTGGCGTATGTAGTAATGTAAGACTTTATGGGCTGCAGGAATTCCTGCGGCCTTAAGGTCTAGATGCCTGGTGATGGAGTTGGCATCTGAGTACCAAGCCTTAAGTGTGAGACGTTCTGTCCTTGAGGTGTCCCGACTTAAGACGGCAGCTCCTTGAAGGTCAACACTGTGGCCAGGTTCTCCGATGTGAGTCGCAATCTGTGAGTTTGGGCCTAGTCTCCGAGTTGCCCCTCGGCTCATGTGGTCATGTAGGCGGGTCTTCAATTTCCGTCCTTTTGCCCCAACGTAGCTGCAGTCTCCATCGTTACAACGCTTATTTCATCCCACAATTGTGTTAAATTTAGCACTGAGGACACTAAGTATTTCTCAGTATCGGATCCAACAAAGGTCACAACCGCCAAAATGGGATTCAGTTAATTCGCCGGGCCCGGAGGCGATTCCAGGTACAATGTTTAAAAACTTTTCGGAATACCTCAAGGTGCGGACTGCTGCTGGCAGGGATAGGTGTTATGGGAAGACTTCTACTCTGGATAGGAAGATTCGTGCACGGATGGCAACAGAGGCTTATATCGAGAAGAAAACTTTGACAAACAGCGGCATGCAGGGTAAGGCGTAGTTAAGAAGAACTCCCATGCATTTAATCCAGAGGAGCCATGGCTCCGGTTGTCCGGTGTAGCCAAGAGGCGATGTCACCAATTGATGACACGTTTAAAGGTTATACAATTATATTGCTGTATTGATAGGTCTATTCATTTGCGATTAAGTTCTTCTGATAAAGTCACCATAATACACAAGACAGAGTGTAAGGGTGTCCAGATCTGGCTGCACGTGAAGGCTGTAGTCGGTCGCTTCACTTGCTTGCAGGTGTTGACTACGTCTAGCGTTCATTAACTGACACCCAACTCTCACATGTGGCTGCCCGAAGATAGGCTCAGCCTAGCAGCAACACTCCGGCAATCTCCTCGACCGACGAGCTAAAGACGATGAGGGTATCCGGTGTTGTGCGTCCGCACACCCGATAACCCCGTCAGTCTCCACCCACCCACCCTGCCCCCCCCATCATTCCTCCCTCCTCCACTCCCTTCGAAGAAACGCCTTGACAATCCGTAGCGTAAGGTGCGACTGATATGAGTGTGTGTGTAGGTAGGAAGAGGCGGCGGTGGTCGGGTATGATGGAAGATTGTTTGAATGAAGGCGAAATTTGGAGTTCCAGGGGTATGCATAAATGAAGAAGAGTCGAGCACCGGAAGATTTTATCATTAAATATTACACAAACATCCTACTCCCTACATGTTAGTAACCCAAAATGTGCAAAGTATTATATCGTTTAGGTTTGCCAATTCGATGTCTCATTCTGGTAAACCGGAAAATACACAATGCAGCCGGACCCCTGGGGCCATTCTTATCTCTTCGAGGCATATCCACGTGGGGTTTGAAAACTGGCTTTTCCAGAAGTCTGAGTTTTCGAATGCGAGCTCACAAACAGCGGCCCACTGAGCAGGACGGTTCTAGGATAAAGCCAACACATGCCCATCTGAACCAGAGGGGAGAGTAGTTTCATCTGACATCACTGCTCTCTTCCCGTCCATACCATAGACCCTTAGCATCAAAACACTCGATGACCTACTGCCTCAGTATTATGAAGAGGAGGAGGACGACCAGTCCACAAGGTATATAATTCGTGGGGACATTATTTGAAGGCTTTCTCAACTTTGACACGACCACGCATTAGCAAGTCAAGGACGTCCCGATGAATTCACTAATCACCGGGCTTATTGATAAGACGGCGTGTCAAAATACTTAGATATGAATACCAGAGGGCTGCAAACCGATGCTGTAAGCGCGCTACGTTTATAGCACTATTCGTCATTGCCCAGAACAAGGTTGATTAGAGGAGAAAATTACTGACTTCAATCACCCCCGGTTTAAAATTCAAAGTGGAGGAGGAGGAGGAAATGAAGGACGAACGTCAGTCTCAAGATGTGGTCGTCTGCCCTCAACTGCACTGCCAGCATGTGGTCTTAGCATTACAAGAGACCAATCATCAGGCCGGAAATACCTCGTTACAACGTTACAACAGTAATCAATCGCTACTACAAAGGCAAAGCGGCATATTCATGCTATACCAGCAAGTGGAACATCCATTGCAATGCGACAATCGCCAAGCGCGATAAAATCAAGCGTTTCTGGTAGCTCTTCGTAGTCAGCGGGTGGCTAGGGAAATTCACTGAGAGAAGCTGAGTGCCGCGATGGAAGAGAAATTAACGCCACAGCCGACAGATGTCGTCTTGGGGTATCCCGTATGTGGGAGGAATTTGCGAAGCTAAAAGTAGACTCCTCGCACCAGTGGTGTATGAGTCACCCACAAGCCTGACTCCACAATCCACCGGTGGGTAATGCGAATAAACTACTCCACGACTGCCGAGAGGGAGATGGTCTTTTTTTACCGAATTCAATGCAGCTTCGGAGATGATAGGTAAGTTGGAAAAACAGCCAGAAGATAGTGAGTCATGGGGTAACATCTATATGCTAGATCCGATTCCATGATATGCAACTGCAAACCGCGTTTCTCATCTTTTTTTAACCGAAATAAGCGACTCAGTGTCTTGTCTGT